CTGCACACACACACACACACACACTCACACACACTCGTGACCTCAGAGGACATTTTACTGACTCACACTGATTTCCTTGAAACTTACTCAAATCTTAACCATAGTTACTAATTACCTAAACCTAACTTAAATCTTACACTAACCTTAACCTAAATCTAACTTTAACACATAAAGACACACACACACACCCGTTTTCTGACCCTACGATCAATAAGATCTTTCTCTGCCCCCCCCCCCACATGTATGAATGAGCAACGCTCCAGGCCTGGATTTCTGTTTGTTGATCTCAGATGTATCACAGTGTTTTGAGTGTGTTGCATATTTAACCAGTTCTTTGTGCGTGAGTGTGTGTGAGTGTGTCGGGCGTCTTACGGCAGCGGCTGCCATATGTTCATAGTAATAGGAGAAACGGTGGACAGTTGCTGCGTTGGCCACGAAGGCGGAGAGATAGAGGACGGTGGCGATGCCGTTATACGCCATGACCTAGAAGAGGAGAAACATTGGTCACATGTCACCAAAGATTTTTCTGTTCTGGCCTGCAAGAGGAGACATGGTTATGTTTTCACCCCTGTCCTTTTGTTTGTTTGTTTGTTTGTAAGCAAGATTACACAACTGGACAGATCACCATGGTACTTGGTGAAAGGGTGTGTGAGGAATCAATTCAGTTTTGGTGTGGATCTGGATCAGAGGGAGGATCCAGGAATTTCTTTTACACTGTCACTGTTGTTTGTTTGTATGTTTTCTTAGAAAATATAAATGGATCTCTCTGAAAGAAAGTCTCAAAACTTTGTCTCGTTTCCCTCCCTACCGTCAGGGGCCAGGGGACAGCACTGAGTTTCCGCTGGGCACCAAACAGCAACATGAAGAAGAGGATGGTGGTGAGGATCCACAGAGTGACGGTCACAAACATCACCCAACCGTACACTGGCAACAACGTGTAGTTGGAGCTGGCTATCAACGCCCACTGGAGCAGCCCTATTATCTAGAGAGGTGAGAGAGGGAGAACAGAGAAGGAGAGGGGAGGTGAGAAAGATGCTGAAAGTAAAGAGAACGTCTATAATTAAATACAATTAAAGCTTAAATATATAATTATCACATAACAGATACATGTAACTGAAATCCCTCTGGTGGGCTCCACTTCATACAAACATGTGTGACAAGACTTTTCTCTTTTTCTAAATCATGCACACAACACATATTATTACCTTATTAAACTGATGAGGAAAACATGTAGCAGCCCATTTATACATAGAAACAACATGGAGCAGCAGTAGCTACTTTTGGAGAATTTAACCAAAAATAGATAGATATTTTGTTTTCTATTCATCACCTCTTGAGGGAAATATCTGAAACTTTAGCGGCTAAATGCTCCAAGTTCATTATGTGTATCAGCCCATTTGTTGTAAATTAAGATGAAGCAATCGAGATGTTTCGCTTTCACTTATCTAAGTTTGAACTCAAGTGGTGGATTTACGAAGAGACAGATCAACATATAAGCCGTGCGTGTTTATAAACGTGACCAGAACTGTGGTCCATGTAAAGTAGGGAGACTGACAACAGTCTCAGCCTTGTGCATTAACAGCACTGTTATGTCTGAAATTTAAGCCTGAAGCTCCTGTCTTTGCTCCAGTGTCTCTCTGCTTCTGTCCCATGAGAAAGAGCATGAAAGGACAGTCTATTATGTATGCAGTGATCGAGTTTCGCCCTTTACACACACACACACACACACACACACACACACACACACACAGTAAAATGTTGCAGTGATCCACAACCTGAGTCAAGTTTGTGTTCATATTTCATGTTTTCTAAAATCACTTCTCTGTCAGGCCACTCAGGAATATACTATAATTAGTGCAATAAAAAAAATCATAATTTTGGGAAAGATTATTTATTTTAGAGTTAGATAAGAACATACAGGTGAACTACTTCAGACAGTTATGGCCCTGACAGCATAAATCCGATCCCCACTGGATGTTCAGCCTTGACCTTCATCACGATATCATTTTACAAAGTCTGTCTCAGTGCTGACACAGTTTTTTCAATTAGACATTGATCTGTAGTTGTTGCAAACACCTTTGAGAAGTAGCTGGACAGTGGCGGTTGCAATAATCAGGATCACACCCAGATCATAAACTGTTGAGGATTGAGATCAGGCATGTGGCTACAGGATTTTGAACCTTCAGTGACCAAAGTCGATTCCTTCCTGCTTTTCCTGTTTCTGAGGTTTCGTCACAGAGGAACTAAACAAACTTCAGGAGACAGACAGTACAGTGGCAGACAGGCAGCGTTAGGGAGCAGCCGGAGAACATAGTGGAACACTGAGCAGCTAAGAGCCACTGATTCCCTCTGGAGTAGGTGGAGAACAAAATAGAAGTAAAAGCACTTGACTCCGGATTAAAGTTAACGTTAACATCACAGCACAGGCCTTGTGTTGTGGTTTATAACTTTTCTTTAAACACTGTGAGGCCATGGTGAGACAGGGTGTCAGCGGAGGTATGTGTTCTCTGAGTGCCTCCCTAGTTTACACTGAAATAACATAAGAAGAGCTTGCTTACCTAACACACACACACAATTCCATATCTACTACATTAATATTTCAGAGTGACTTAATAAGTATTTAGCACTTTCCCTCATTTTGACCGCATGTATTTGACCCACCTCACAAACTTAACAAGACTTCAGAAACTATTGAATCATCTCAAACTATAAAAGCTGCTGACCACTGCACAGCTGGCTCTACTACTACAACACCATCAGAAGCATCAGCCTCATTAAACACAAACGGTTGTCAAATGTTAAAAGGTTCAGTGGGTAAGATTTAGGTGAAAGGGATCTATTGGCAGAAATTGAATATAAAATAATGCACAAATTGTTGTTTTCCTTACTCTAGAATTGTCCTTTTATATTTGATTACTTTATATTTACATCAGGAGCGGATTCTCTCTATGGAGGCTGCCATGTTTTTTACAGTAGCTCAGATTGAACAAACTAAACACCTTTTGAGTTTTTATGACGACTGAAGTCTACCACAGGTTCTCTACAGTGGAAGGGGAGGGTGAGGCGAGTGGTATTCAGCTGCAACATACAAATTCACCACTAGATGTCACTGAATTCTACACACTGGGCCTTTAACAGTCTTATAGAGAACAAACATTAACTGTGTCCCTGTTGCCTTGAGGGATGTAAGTTCAGTGTAATATTTGAACATAACACCAGTTTAACATAACGACTCTCGACACAGCTACACACACACAGAGGTTAAACACCTGACATCTCCCATAAGTCAGATAGAACTGAAGAAGCCTCTTGGGTGAGAGGTGAGACATCAAGGAACACATGCAAGTGCCTATGTGAACTTCTGACGATACCATGACTGAGAATCCTCACAGATTTGTTCAGTGTGATCTATGGTTAGATGGTTGGACTGGTGTCAGGAAAGGAAAGGGAACGAAGGTCTCCTGCATCCGACAGTCACATGTCATCAACAGCAAATACATTGCTGAAGGGGGAAATGTGTTAGAGCTGCACCTCCTGAATTTCCTGTTATGCTCATTACTTCTACATGCCAATCAGTCTCACCACCAAATATTAGAGCAAACACAGCAAACCTGACCTGCTGCAGTCAAATGTTACTTTCCGCTCTCAGCTCTGAAATGAACAGACATGAGTGTGCGCAACAAGAAAGCTGAGGATTCGACGAGGGAACATTCTGTTTTGTTGACAGACAGTCTGAGACATTTTAATGCACAAACAGAAACTGGTCGGCTCACGTTCAAATCCCTAGAGCACAACATGAACAGTGCAGATTAACAAATATCCTTGTGTAGTGCTGCTGTAACGTTGACTGCAATGTGAAGAGAAGGTTATCACACTTAACTCACCCTCAGTGATGAATATAACTGGATCTGTTTCAGATCCTAGATCCCTCACTCTCTTTTCCACATGTGTTCTTCAGTTTGTTGTAACAAACTGATGCTGCTGCTCTTACATGAGAGGAAAATCAGGATAAAGATGTAAAGATTATTCTTTATGTGTCATTATAAAAAAAAAAGATGATACTGCCATCTAAGAGTTTAGGTGTATTTAATAGTTCTCTTAGTGACAGGAAAACTGAATGAGTCCATTATCAAGAAAAAATATTAAATGTCTCCAGCTTTCGTCTTTATAAAATATAAATTAATCAACTGGTGTTTTCAGTCGCTCAGCAGAAACAGAATAGAGGAAAGAGAAGAGAAGAATTGGAACAGGTTTATTCTGATCGGGATCTGTTACATACTATTTCAGCGCACATGAGGATGGATGTGATGCTTCGGAGAAAGACCATGTCCATCATGGTGGTGACGTTACCAGCCAGGCCTCGGAGCCTGTTGCTCCCCCCATGAGAGCTCTGGGAGTTGGGGGAGCTCGTCTCCGTGGCGACTTTGGACGGGAAATCTGCCATGATCACACAGCTTGTCTGAAGTTGGGTGTCTCAGAAACTCCTTCAGGCTGTGATACAGTCTCAGATGGAAATTTTCCTCCTGGAACAGTTTTCACTCAAATGCCTAATGGTTTGACGATCCAGGAGCCACCGGCCTCGTTGAAATCCAGTTACATAAAAAACACAAATATCTCAAGAAATATCAAAATACCAAGTCTGGATTACTTAGAAAAAAAGGAATGAGCCCTCCAGTGAAACCTCCAGGTTCAGATATTCAGTCTCCACCTGCTCTGACAGGTGTCTGATGGTGTGTGAGTCTCCCTACACCTCCCTCTCTCTCTCTCTCTCTCTCTCTTGCTCTCTCTCACACACACACACCCATAGTGAAAGTTTCGTCATCCTAACTCCGTCAGCTCTCCCTCTTTTACCTCTATCTGCCCCTGGCACCTCCCATATGGCTCCTGCCTTTCACCTGAGTGACTTATTAATGTGTTTGAAAACTGGGAGGAGGTCTGACAGTGACGCCCTCTTGGTGGGAGTGTTATGTGTCCTTCACGTGTCCTGTGATAAGACATAAGGTTGATGCACTACTGCGGCTAATGATTGACTTTTTTAACTTGTTGCTGTGGGGTCATCTCATTTCAAATTCTGAAAGTCCAAAATAAAAATGCAAACATTAAAGGAGACATATTATTTTCATATTCAAGGTCATCATAATAATAATTATTTGTTGTACATGCTCTAACGCTCAATCAATCAATCAATCAATTTCCTCAGACTGTCCATTGCTGCAGCTCCTCTTGTCAGCCTGTGTCTGCAACACTTGGTTTCAGCTCCTGTCTCTTTAAAGGGAGAGTTCACCCAAAAAAGTAAATTCACTCATTATCTACTATGACTTGCTTTTATCTAAATCTCAATTATGTTGGACCTCTGATTAACCTTTGAGGCGGGGTCACAACAAGGTGTTTCTCAGTGAGTCCAGCACATGTCATCACAGTTGTTGTGTAATAAAGTATAAAGTGAGATGTAGTGCTATGATTGGAGTGATTGTAGTATTACCAAAATACAATGTAGAACAACAGTGTAGGATGGTATTATCAATGTCAATAGCATGCACATACAATAACATGTTGTATGAGTACAAACTAACATACATTAAATGATAAAAAAATACAACAATAAAAGCAAGTAGTGTATGCAGTAATACTAGTAGATCATACAGTATGAGAAGCAAATGAAATGATAAGAATATTAGAAACAAACCAATGATCTCCCTGTTCTCTAGACTCTGTTCATTGTCAGCAATGATCTAGATAATCAATTACTGCTACTAAGAAAAGATAAAATGATCATTTCTTCCTCTGACTATGGGGAGATTTGCTGTTGTGCAGTAATAATAGTTTAAAAATATACATAGGTAAAGTAATAAATAAGTAAACTTGCAATAATAAGAGCAGGAAAGTATAAAATTGAAATATAATAGAAATGAAGTGAAACAGAACACATACAGTGGAATGCATTGCACATTAGCCATTTAATTCCACAGATAGGAGTGATTATTAAATGGATAATAAATATTGTAAAAATAATATCGAAGATAGAAAGTCTCCAATCTTTCCTTTTAACACTTTTTAATGACTTTCCGCCTTTAAATACGGAGGCGTAAGAGTCAAGATGGCGCCTCCCTGTGGAGAGATGACCGCACTGCAGCTCGTCCAGCTGATCTCAGATTCTTCTCTCCTGTGAACATCCAGTGAGTCCAACAGTCACTTTACTTCTTCTTCTTCTTCAACGCATTTGTTGAGAAGATGTTTCATTAGTGCAGGAAAAGCTTGTTTTGTGATTGTGTGTGTGTTTGTATTGTTTTGTATCTTAAAGAGGGTTCACTCTGATCAAAGTCTGAGAAATAGAATGATTTGAGCAGATTAGTTTGTTTGTTTTTTATCCCTGTGTTATTGTGTTATTGTGTTATTGTGTTATTGTGTTATTGTCTTGTTTGTTGGTGTCTGGACTCAGGCTTTTTCTTTTTACTTTATATTGTAATTCTGTGTATTTACAGAAAGACATGTTTGTTAATTCAACATGAAAAGTTTCTTTTAGGTTGAAGTTGATTCAACGTTAGAGAAAAGTTTCTACAGCGTCTTTACATGTTGAAAAAGAGTGAATCACTAAGGGTCATGTTTTTACATTGAAGTATCATGTAATAAATATTGTGGTACTAGGCCGAAAGCCTGCTGTCACTACTGGGGATTTTATACTCAATGAGGATTTTATACTCAATGAGGATTGGACAACCATTGTTGGAGAAGTGGACTCTTGTATTTTACATTGAGCATTATTTCACTGTGCTGCATTCAACTTCTCTGGATTTAGACAATAAAGGGGCATTTCTATGAAATCAGGTGGTAAATCAGGAAGTCACTTTTGGAGGGAAACTGCAAAGGCCTTACCTCAAGGCCTCACCTGCAAAAAAAGAAAAAAAAGAAAAAATCTAATTTCCATTCAAACTGGGAAATGTTCCCATCAGCTCTCAGCAGCCTTTGGAAAAATAAGCTAAGTTTGAATCTTTTCACTGAGGAAGCACAAACTGGCAGATCAGAATGTTCAACTTCTTTCACTGAGTTCACTCAGATGTTCAACTTTAAGGTGAGTTTTGAATCCTTTTTTTTTTTAGTTTTACTTTTTAATTGGGATTCATTTGAGTTGTTTTGTTTACGAACACATAAAATGAAGTTCAATACAACCACAGGACAGATGTTAATTAAAGGTGAATCAATTTTTCAATGAAATCGTGAATAATTAAGGTTCCACAAGCAAAGTATTGTTGAGCTTTCACTTAACTCACTGTTTGATTTGCAATATTTTGTCCGTTTATATATTTGATGTTGTAACTTACTGTCGGTGGCAATGTTTGGATTTCACTTGAGATTATGAAATGTGTACATTTGAAGTTGTGGATTCTGCTAAATATAATACAATCATTTAAATGTTTTGAATGCATTAGTGTTGATTCAGGCTGATGAACTGATTCAATATCTTTTTACTAAATGAAAAATATGACACCTTATCTACCTGTTCTCATTCTGCAGGAATGTGACTGTAGAGCTGTGCAACCCAGATCTTCTGCTCTGCTCCCATTTATTATACGTTACTATCATTGTACCTTCTGACTTATTGATGCTGCTTGTTGTTGTTGTTGTTGTTTTAATAAGCACTCACTCCATTTAATTGCAGTTTATTTTTATAGCAAAGCAACATCATACATTATTTCAATGATCTCTTGGTGTCATGTGACAACTGTTGTATTTAAACACTGTCTCAGTCGTGCAATTATAGATAAAATAAATGTGTAACATCATTTGACAGAAGAAATGACAAATATCAAATGATTTTACATTTTTAGATTTAAAAAAATAATAATAAACAATCGATTTCTTTCACCTGAATCTTCACACCGGAGCTTGAAGTGTGACCTGGGCCTGCACTGCCCGTGTAACACCGGTAAACACCGGAAAACACCGGAGCAGCGACAGGCTGAGGTAAACAGGCTCTGTCTCTTTTAAAGTCTCGTTCCTCGGGATCACTCGGCCTTTTCCGTCTCCGTCCAGCCGGCGGTGTCACTCAACCTCGGTGGAGACTCCGGATCCCTCCACACACCTCATTAAAGCACAGGGTAGGTCTGAATCCACTGTTCATTCATAAAACACCACAGACCGGGGAGGTGCGTGGGGGTTCTACGCGGTGGAAACCCTCCACGCTGCGGGTTTTCAGCGCGGAGCCCCGAACGAGCTTGTAGTTGACGGGTGCTAAATTTAGCTGCCATCCGTGCAGGGGCTAGCTAACGTGCTACATCGGTAGCTTCACCTCGAGCTAGCGACGTTTGTCCAGTGAAAGCACGGCTAAAGGTTGGTGCTACAACCCCGTGAGTGTCCATGGAGACAGTGTGGATGTGTGCGTGCGTACTCCACGTAAATATCACGCGGGACATGAAGTATTCATTCAGTTTGGTGCCGAGTTCTCCTCTTTGTTTACAAATGTAGCATTAGCACGTCCTGCAGGTTAGCTAGCTAGTGTTAGGTATCGCTGTCATGTTCGTCGCTAAACAAAGACAAAGTGTAGTGTTGTGCTTTGTTAGTTTATTAACTACCCACTAGATTTCTAGTGTCACTCGTAGTTGGTAAGAAATTCATAATTTATCTGTTCACTGTGGTTTTAATCAAAACTCACAGACCAAGTGTACATGCTGGCTAATCACTGTCCTTTATCTGCACTTTAACCTGTGATTATGATGTTGGCTTCAAACTACCAATACATTTCATTCTTAGTCAGACAGTATCCCCCAAGTTTGCACATGAGAGAAAAGCTTTTTAAACACTGTCTGCATATGTGTGCTACTATCTCAGGGACTATTTCAGAGAAAAGCTGCCCAGGGATTTGTTGTGCAGGACTTCCGATGATCAGCCATGGATGAGGACGACAATCAAGATGAGTTGATCAATCACAACGCCTCCCACAGCAAAGGAAGACGTGCTGCATTGTGGGCCATCTCAGGTAGCTCATGTTATATGTTCATGTTCCAGACAAACACTGGCTGATGACTGAGAAAATTAAATGTCATAACATAATGAGTGTATTGTAATATTTCCCCCCCAGATGACTCGGATGATGATGCTGAAGGGGAGTCTGAGGAGGGAGAATCTGACAGTGGTGAGGAAGAGGAGGAGGATCATATAGATGGAGTGGATGAGGAGGAGGAGGAAGAAGAGGAGGGAGGTAGGTCGAAATTATTTAATTGTCATATTTCTGATTAAAGAAACGTTTCCTTATTGTCTGTGAGACATATATACGTTATAGTGTCTGATGACCATATTAAACATGGCCAGAGTTTGAAATACTGAGGTGAAATCATTCATTAAACATGCTGCTGCTGCTGCTGTGCATTAGTCTGGCAAAAATGGTGTTCACTTAATTTGAGTGCTGCTGACTTTTTGACATGAATGTGGAAAGTTTGACTTCTGCAATACACTACACACTTACGACGTTACCACTTGCCCACCACTTTGTTTTGTGCAGCAATATTGTCTATACACATTGTCTGTATTGTGGATTTGTTTGTGATTTTTATCCACTTTTATCAGATGAAGAGGATGAAGATGCTAAGGCAGAGGATGGTGCTTTAGGAGGGACCTGTGCTGACCTGGCAGGGATCAGCTCAGATGAGGACTCAGATAAATGTCCCATCTGCCTTAACTCGTTCAACAGCCAGCCCGTTGCAACACCAGAGAGCTGCGAGCACTACTTCTGTCTCGACTGCATCCTTGAGTGGACCAAGGTGGGTCTGACTGCTGTTACACACTAGTTCATATCTTTACATTATCATGCATGCCCGAGGAAGCTGATTAACTCAGTTGTTGTGTTTTTGTTTTCCAATATTTAGAATGCAAACTCCTGTCCTGTTGACCGTCTTGCCTTCAATAGCATATACCTCAGAAAATGTTATGGTGGCAAAGTGAAGAAAATCGTGAGTTTCTCTGGAATCTTTTGACCCCTGTTAACTCTATATACATTTATATTATATTGACTAATTGCCTACATGGAATCTTTTGTGATGGCTGTTTCTTTAGATCACAGTGCAAAAGCCTGTGAAGGAGGGTCAAGAAGAAACAGTAGATCTGGACCTGGAACAGACCAATTGTGAGGTGTGTGGGGGCAGTGACCGCGAAGACCGCCTCTTGCTCTGCGATGGTTGTGATGCTGGGTGAGATAGATTAATATTGTTGTAAAAAAAGTATATCCTAGTATCAACACAACAGTCAGTTTTTGCCTGTTTTAGATTCTTATCAAACCTGTTGTGAGAGTTCTTGTGGTGAAAAATTAATTTTAAGCCTTTTTCTTATCACAGGTATCATATGGAGTGTCTCACACCACCTCTAGACTCTGTTCCTGTAGAAGAATGGTTCTGTCCTGAATGTGAAGCCACCAATCGTCACTTAAGTAAACCTTCAAGTTCTAACCTTCTTACGTTCTTACTTTAACAAACAATACTTTGCACTTTGGCAACATTTAGTCCTTTACAGACTCTATATATAGTTAACTCTCTGTAAAAACATATTTCCACATATCAAAACACAGCCAAAAGACAGTATATTTGTCTTAAAGCCAAATATTAACCTGTAGTTGACCTATTCATTACATTTTAAGTGACACAATCATAAGCACCCTTTCAAAATATGACATGTATTTCTTCTCACTCAGGGAATTCAGCCCTTGATGTTAGTGATACAGAAAGCCTGCCCTCTACTGCCCGCCATGCCACCAGCCACCACCAGCCCCGTGCCACAGGTCCCACCAGAGCGATCGCTCGAACTCAGCAGAGCGAGAGGGTTCGAGCCAGTGTCAACAGACATCGCATCACACAGGCACGCACGTCACAGGTTTGGCATGAGGCGTGATGCTTCCGTCTTGGCTTATTAACCTACTACCACAGCAAATGCAGCACGTGATATCTTGCTGTAATGTTTTGATTCTCTAGAGTTTGTTGTGCAGATTACATTTACTGATAGGAGTCATTTTAATGTAAAGTAAATTAGTGCTGTTAATGAAATAATGGCAGTTTTATTTGACTGGGGATTGAAATGCTTGCATCGAAGAGCAGAGTGTGTGTTTAGGAGTTTATTCAGCAGTGAAGTAATGCAACATTTTTTTCTTACCAGTTGGCTCCCACATATCTTATTCAGTCCACATGGCTGGATGAGACAATAAATGCTGTGGTGGCTGGGCTCAATACGGCTGTGTATATACGGGACTTAACACCTCGTGTCCGATCAAGCCACAGGCGGAGGACGGGTAAGTGAGCGCACATGATGAAAATGCATAACAAAGTCAAAAGTAGGGTTAACATAAACAGAGACGTTGTGTGTTTGTGTTGAGTAATGACTTATATATTGATGAACAGGGAAGCGTAGAAAGGTCAGCAGCAAGAGGACATCTTCTGCGAAGGGTAAAGGTGCAACTACAGGATTCAGGAGGAGAAAAAGGAGAGTGAGGAGATCCAGAAAAAAGCTGGTGAGTGCATCAACATCAGTCTTGACATTTAAATTATGTTCATGAACACAGATTGTCTATAAATTCCATGTCCATATTTCTCGACTACAGGTGAAAAAGACAGCCACTCCTCGAGGACGTATTGCGAATAATCTTGGAATTGTAAAAGACAAGAAGAGCTCTTCGCTTCCTACAGTATACCGGCCCTCAGAGCACACACTAAGCAACATGCGTGCTGACATAGGTGCTGCATCCCTCTCCATCTATGGAGATCCATTTGACCTGGATCCATTTACAGATCGGTAAGAGCACTTGCTCAAATTTGTGGCGTGGTTGGAATAGCATGTTTCAGACTTTGTATTAAGATACTAAATATTTGTTGGTTTTACCATAGTCAAACCAAATTAAAACCAATAGATTAGTTGCTTACTACTGGCTCACACTTAGAAGTCCAGTTTGCACATTTGAAGTTAGCCTTATTGTTATCATTGATTATCATCAGCTACTGTATTACTATAGAAATGTGGATAATGCAGAAGTATGTCTCAATGTGTTAGTATCTAACAAGGCTTATACATGATTAGTTATTAAGCAAATTGTGACTTTTGATTTTCATTTAACCAGCGAGGAGGAGCAGCAGCAGGCCCACGTTTCATCGCTGTTGGAGGCCAAGAGACGAGGAATCTCTCGCTCTGCTCTTCGCTCTCACCAGCCTGTAGCTCGACCAGTCACTGCCAGCCTTTCCAGGTAACATCACCTCTATGCCATGATGTAAAGAGAGTGTAGGCTATTTCTTTCACAGCAAAGTTACTGATAACCTTGGTTCAGTTCAAGCTGACAGTGAGGCAGCAGACCCTGAAACTGATTCAGCTAAATGCAATTCAGTCATCTTTCAAAAAACAAATATGGTACCATACTAAATTTAAGAACATCGAAAATCAAGTAAAAATGTACAGAAAGTGAATATTCAGCAATGCATGACAATGTGACTACATTTTCCAAAAGTAACTTGCACTTAATGATAAACATCAATTTATGGTAAATCTACTAAAATTATGGTGTTTTTAGATATTATATTTTTCCTTTCCTTTGTCAAATATTATTTAAAAAAAATCTGCTACTAAGAATGTAAACGATAGCAAATTCCAAGTCATACTCCGGGTGTTCCTGATCAAAATGATACCAAGTTTGAAAAATACTTTGAAAATCTAATTAAAGGTTTGCTATGCTATACCAGGAGAGGTGTGGATGTCCCCCAATCAGGAAGTGTCGTGGAGGCGGCTCCTGTGCCTGACCTGCTTGGCAGTATACTTACAGGACAAAGCATGCTCTTGATGGACAGCTCTGATGTTGTCATTAGTCGAGATGGTTCCCTTAAAGCTACCAAGCCAAGTAAGTCTGTGTTGCAGTCTTTTAAAAGCAGTCTGAATGCTGAGAAACAATTGTGTTGTAGCTGTGTGAGTATTTTTTAAAGCTTTCCACAATAAATCCTGCTGTTCAATATCAAACAACTTTAGATTAACCTAAACATGAATTCTTACATATATAAATGTACATCAAGTTGGTGAATATCAAGCTTTAGATTATTTTCAGTTTTGGAGACACAATAGTCCAGCAGTGCTTCTTGTGTTCCCCCACATTGGCAGTGAGTTATGCTCAGCTGATTGTGACTGACTGGGCTGTTATCTCTAATTCCACTTCTCTGCTTTTTGCTCTATATAGTATTGTGAGCACTGTACTTGTAAATTAGCCTCATCTGTTGGGCAAAAAGAAACAAAACAACTTACTTAATTCACTCTTTGTATATTTTTATCTAATGTACGTTTTGTGTTGACAGTGATGCCATCCACAGTAAAGCCAGGTAGCAGCAATAGCAGCAGCTCAGGAGATGTGAGCATCAACCCCGGGATGTCACCGTTGCAAGGAGACAGTTCTCCGTCTCCCCACTACAACGGACACCTAACAGGATCCTCCCACAGCTCTATAAACAGACCTTTGCCCCAGAGCTCTGTTCGCTCACCCCCATGTACACCCTGCCCAGCCACCCACACCCAACCACCTCCCTATTCTGATTTGCCACCTAGAGGTCATCCAGGTTTGCAGCCACCTCGTCCAAACAGACACACCCCCTCTCATGGTCACCGGGGAATCGATGACATTACAGCCCCTAGGGAAACCTCCTCCTCGTCCATCCAAACTGCACCAGGCTCAAACTTCAAGGGAAAGGGAACGATTCCATCGCAGTCTCAACCTAAAAAAGCACCCACAAAGCCGATGTGGGTCGACGTATCAGTGCTTCCTAGGATACCAAAAATTAAAAGGGAAAGTAGTGGTGAGACAAATGATGGCAGTAGTCAAACTGGCAGTAGTGTCAGTAATAGAATCAGTAGTACTAGCGGGAGTAGTAGTAGTAATGGTCACGTTATGCCTGAAATGGGCATGAACAGCCTCGCTGGGGACAAGAGCAGGCAGCAAAGTGTAGACCAGCAGAAGGGAAGGGTTGATGGTCAAGCCCAGAGGCATAGGTCTGACGGAGCGGGGTCATCATCATCAGCTTTCTCCAACTCATTTTCCTCCTCTTCTTCCTCCACTGGTTCGCACGCCAGCCAGCCACGGAATTCTTCATCTTCCTCATCTTGCTCATCTTCATCAGCAGTGAGCTTCCGTATTAACTCCAGTGGGAACTCCTGGCAATCGAGGCGGCTAAGCACTGCATCACCCTCTACTAGTGGTTGCAGCACAAAAGAACACTGGAGAGAAAAGGAAGATGAAGCTAAGAGGAGACAGTTGCGCAGGGATAAGCAGATGCTACTTGCATCGCATACGCTGGTTAATAATGAACAAGACAGGACTAATATCTATGATCCCTTTAATCCCACTCTGTCAGACTCAAGCAGCTCAGACAGTGAAGCTGAGAGCTCAAGGCTGGATAAGAGCTCCCTACATACCACACATAAGTTCAAGGCTCCTAGTTTAAGACGTAAGGAGGATGTAGTGCAAAATAAGCAGGACCTGGTTCATGTGAAAACTGAAACAGAGGAGACTGAGGTCTCACAGGAAGAGCCGAGGAGCGCGAATGCTCTGGAAACCATATCACAGGAGGCTGGATGCTCACAGGAATATGTCAAGGTTGAAAAACAATCAAGATTAGTAGACATTAAGGTTGAGAAACAAACATCATTACTTGACACTATACTTAAGAAAGAGCCAGATGATGAAGGGGAAGCAGAAAGCTGTCACGATGTAACAATGGATTTAAATTCAGAGACAGCTGACATCACAGCACCTGCTCATCACAGCCTCAGCGTTTTAAAGACTGAGAAAGAGACAGTGGAAGAGGACAGTGTGCAGTCTGAAGGATCTCAACGCAGTTCTTTCCCTAACTGTAAGAAGGATTCGTCAGCATCCAACTCTGCTCCTACCAAGAAGAAACAAACAGAATCCAAATCGGACTCCACATCTTGTTCCAAGTCTCCATCAACAGATTTGAGCCATAAGAGGAAAACATCCAAAGCTCCGAAAGAATGTCAATCTAGCAGCTCAGAGACGGACAGAAGCAAGAGAGGAGACCATCATGCCTCTGACCAGGGAGGCAGTCCAGAAAAGGAGAAGGACAGAGAAAGGAGCTCCAGGAGGTCAAGGTCCAGAGAGAGAAGGAGAGCACGCTCAACCTCACAAAGCTCTCAGTCCAACTCCCCTGATAAGAGTGGCAGAAAGAGACGGCGATCCCGGTCGCTTTCCAAAGACAGAAGGCGATCTAGGTATATATGTTTGTCCAATATTTAGTTTTGAGCATGTTTTTAATATTTAGACCTTTGTTGACGAGTTTGTTTTCATCACCTACAGGTTTGTCTAGGTTTGTCTTAAACATTGATTTATTTTTTTAATTTTTTACCAGGTCTGTTTCCAGCTCGAGTAGCAGAGAGCGTTCAAGAAGGAAGAAGCATAAGCAAAAGAGCAAGGCGAGAAATGATGACAGAGAAGGAGACCACAAGAGAGGACACATGTCAAAGGACAACAGACCCGGTCGTTCCCGGTCGCGTTCCAGGTCTAGATCCTCATCAAGATTGAAGGACAATAAACGGGGCTTGTCTCGTTCAAAATCACGGTCAAGATCAAGATCCAGGGAAAGGAGGAAAGATCACACTCGACAGCAACAGCCATATCAATCCTACAGAGACAAAGTGGGGTCACGATCGAAAGACAAGAAGAGACACAGGTCTAGATCGAGCTCAAAAGAGAGGATGAAAGAAGAAGGATCATCATCCAAGAGTTCACAGAAAAACTTGGGGTCCTCTGTTTCCTCCTCTAAACACAAGAAGCAGATACAAGAAAAGAAAAAAGAGAAGGAAGTCATTCAAAATTCACTCAAAGAGGAGAAAAAAACTAGAGGAAATAAACAGGAGTTCCCCCCCTCGACTTCCACATCTAAAGTTAAAAAGGAAGTCAAAGACCTCAGGGCAGACAACGAGGCCCCAACAGTGGAAATGCCAAAAGAGGTGAAGGTTGTAAAAGTAATTAAGAAAGAAAAAGAATCATCTCTTGATATGTTTGAAGATTCTCCTATCACTAAATCAATAAAGACAGAAGAAATCGACTCTTGGTCTTTGCCAGAAACCAAAGGCACAAAAAAGGAGGTGGCTGAAGAAGACCTCAGCAAGACTCGGATGTGTGCAATAAAGACTGAGACGTGTGAAATTGCAATTAAATCAGAGCCAAGTTCACCTAAAGTGAACCACCTCACCTCATTTTCTACATTGACAACACCTGCCACAGCAGACACTCACCAGGATGCAGCCTCTCCTGGGTTAATGACCTCAGAGGAACAGCCAAACACTGCAGGGCTGACTCTCTCTGTAAAGCAGGAAGTTCTGCAACCCTCTGACTCTGATGACGATGACTTCAATGTCGATGTGATGCTTGACAACCTGGACTATGTGAAGTCTGAGTGCACAGGGGGAGGCGGTGGCTTTGTCAAACAAGAGAAGGAAGATGAGGAGGCGAAAAAAGAGGGAGAGCAGGTGTCGGCTGTGGTTGGAGCAAAATCTAAGGCTCCAGTAAAGAGGGTCACCTGGAATATACAGGAGCCCGAGGGGCCCCAACCAGAGAAATCTGCAAGCAGTAAGTGTTGCTGCTAGATCCCCCCACATCACTTCTGATTCACTGTTTACACCGGATCAATAGATCAAGCTCATACATGTTTAGCATTTAGCAACAGGTAACGATTTAAAAAGTGTTTTGTATCTGGTTCCCAGCCAAATGTTTTTTGAATTCTTTCTTTCACAGAGGTGGCTCTTTATAAATTGAAGCTGAAGCAGGAAGGGGCTCGAAGACCCTCCTCCACGGTCCAGACATCCAGTCAGGTAAGACTGATCCATGAGTCACTGCAGAGTTCAATCTGTATTGTTTGAAATACTTAAAGCATGTAATGTGAATAATGACCAGAGGGTGGCAGTGGTTATCTATATATATTTGTCCAAAGTCACGTTGTCGAAACTGATACTGAAGCATTTTCAGAATAAACGAAAGTAAAAGCCTCACTGTAGACTTCCTTAGATGACATAGAATCACTCTTTCCACACAAAGTCTTCAAAACAAACAAACATAATAAACCTGCATAAGATATATACAATTAGTAATTTGTTATTTGTGTATGTTATTTATATCTGACATAGATTTGTGTTACTAACATGTTCTTTTGTTTATATGACTAACGAAATACCATATGATGCAGTTCAAATATGAAAAGTTGCAGGTTTTCAGTTTGGGTTCATTAATGTTAGAATCTCAACGGTCTGACCTCAGGCCTGGTCCATTTTATCTTCACAATCTTGCTTGTTATCTCAGCTGTGTTGACTGGGCCTGGTTGAATCTCAGGGTCTTCAAAGCAATTCTTCAAACAAACAAACTTTAACAACTTATTTAACAGTGATTTGTGGAAACAGTGCTTTACAGTGCCTTAATGCCTAAAGAAGCAAAAATGACATCACACTCAACAGCTGCATGATGATTGGTTTATTGACTGAGTGAACAGCAACTATTTTTTCTGATCTTTAAATTATTTTAGTTAATTTTCAAGTAAGACCATTTTTTACAACCTCAGTTCTGCAAATTATGGGATTTGATTCTTTTTTGTGGGTTTTGGACCATAGGTCAAATAAAAAAAACTATGTGGATATAACTTAGACAAACTGACAAATAATTAATAGACAGATGAATTGATGAATAATTGTCAGTTGTGTCCATCCAGTAAACATTCTTATTATCTCTTTTGACTTTTACAGGACATCACTGGAGCTGTAGGTGAGTCCTCCAAAAAAGGTGCAGCCGCTCCACTCAGGTCTTCCTCTAGATCTGATGGCCGAAATCCAGAGGGCTTATCAGTGACTGCACAAGGAGATGAAGAGGAAGGAGATATGTCGAGGAAAGATAAGGTGAATATGAATTTTTAATGATTTATCTTTGAATGTCAGTAATAATAATGATTTTAAAACTCAGTTAAGAAGTGCTTCATACACAAAATCAATCAATCCGTAGAGAGGACCCACTCCCAGTGTAAAAATAAAGTATTTAAATATAAAGGGCTCATTCTAGGGTAAAGAAAACAACAATTCATACAATTTAGATGATTGCACACCTGTGAAAACATCAATAGGATTATTTTATATAAAATGTCTGCCAATAGATCCCTTCCACCTAAATCTTACACATTTAAAAGCTGAGACAGAGACTCTGTACCTCAGTCTGTCTGTTAAAATACTGTTGTCTGCTCTGTCAAAGGCTGAACTTAAAACTTCTGTTGTTGTTTTGAGATAATTCTTTATTAAAAACAATACAACTTTATTCATCCCAACAGTATTTGAAAAAGTTACACATGCAGGAGAGAGCTATAGAGGAGGTGAAGCTAGCTATCAAACCTTTCTACCAGAAGAGGGACATCAACAAGGATGAATACAAAGACATTCTACGCAAAGCTGTTCAGAAGGTGGGTTAAACATTTTGTCAACACAGGTTATCAGGTGACTGAGAGAATCTTGTCTGATAACTTTGTGTTCCTGGTCCTCAGGTGTGCCACAGCAAGAGCGGCGAGATCAACCCAGTTAAAGTGGGCAATCTGGTCAAGGCATATGTGGACAAATACAAACATGCTAGGAAACATAAGAAAGGAGAGGACTTAGGGAAGGAACCTCAAATCTCCGACAGCCCATGAGGAGTTGTGACCTACAGGCAAGAGCAGCTGCACCCAACACAAACACACATTCATGTTATTCTAAGTTTTAACGATGAATGGTTGACTTCGAACTCTGATCACTTAAACCACCCATGGGTGTCCGTCTCTTGGACGGTCACTGCCATGAACTACTCAGTTTATGTCTTGCAGCTCAGAAAGTTAATGGGAGACTTTGAGTTTGTGCCTTAAAGAGGCAAATCTCACAGGACCCTCCCATGGACTGATAAATCAGGTTGGGTATCAGTGGAAGGATGCAGTGTGGACTTTGAGGTTTCTATGGCATTTTTGTTTTGTAAAAGCAGGGGTATTTATCAGTGGTGAAACACATTTTTTGTTAAGAGATGACTTCAAAGTATGCAGTGAATGCATATTTCAACCAGAGACACTTATGCAATTTTTGTAGAAAATTTCAGTAGAGAAATGAAACACAGATTTGGTTGTAAATACTATAGATTTGATATATCCTTGTATGTTCCTTACATCTGTGTTGCCTGCTCTGAATGACTTGACATAAATGGTTCTAGTTTGTAGAGTTGAGATTTTTTTTTGTAATGTACTTAAAAGCATCCGTTTCCTGTCTTCCACATCTCAAGTATCCATGTTGGTGAATTCTTCCTCAGTAGTTGAACAAATGGATGATGGAGTCACTCTTCTCAAAAAACTTGATTTCTTATGCGCTGAAAAACTAAATGACCTATTTTGTCAACCCTCTGAGTGAAATGTTGAGAATTTGGGATTATTATT